ATTTTTTTTTTAAAAAAAAAGAAATTATAATTTTTTTTTAAAAAAAAAATAAAACATTGCACTATTATAATATATGAAGCCTTGTATTTATTCTGCTGGTAGGTTCTGTTTTTGCGCAGTGGACTATTAATAAATGGGAAGATAAGTATAAATTTGTTTCATTCATTCTTTTTTATTAATCTATCTATTATATAATAATTCTCATTACCTTATTCATCATCAATGTCCATTTCTTCAGGGTCCATTTCTTCAGGGTCATCATCCGTCATACTTTCATCATCAAACTCATTATCAGGATTTGGTTCACTATCTATACCATCCTGATTTGATGGTTCATTATCTTCCTCAGAAAAGCACACCTCATTCATACGGTTTGCGATAATAGCTTGGAGACGGCTTGTCATTTTGTCATCTTCACTGCCATCAGGGCTAAGCGTAAGTCCAGATGCTTCAAAAGACTTAGCCAAAAGATCTGTGCTGATTTCTCTCCATGTTTCAGAAACCCATTCGCATACCATCTCATATGATGCTTTTTTGAGGTTTCCTTTTTTAGTAAGCCCACCTTTTCCTTCGTCCATCCATTTTTCCCATCTTCGCGTCATGCCATTTTTAAATGGCTTGTTCACTGATACGTCGGGTGGTTGCAAAACGCAAGTAGTTCCACTGGGTATCTCTAGAACATCTAACCCTTCCTAAACAAAAAAATATTTAATTTAAAAGGTTATAAATTTAGTAATCAGAATAAAAATTGAACTTATATATTCTAATTAGAATAAGTTTAATGTTCCAATTGCCTAATACTGATTCTGATTCTATTATTATTTTTTTTTTAAAAAAAAAAACAAAACTATAGCTTTACCATCTTTAATGCTTTAACTACATCATCACGGATATGACTGCTGTGGCGATCAACGAAGATTAGACCTTTACTCTTAAAGAACCCATTCGGCCTGGCACGAATAACTCGTGGAATATAAGTGGAGATCATCAAATCTCCTATCATATTTGCACAAGGTGCTGTGGTCACCACCACGTCTCGTGGAAACCTACCCTTTGGTTTTTTTTTTAATTTGAAAATTACAGCGGGCGGAAGTTTTTCACCGGATGCAGTATAACCCAAGACCACTGTAAAACGCAATTTTTCGTTTCCTGTAGTTTTAATTGGCACTTCACGAACGCCTTCAAAATCGATTGTCGTATTTCGGGGCATATCAAACCACATCGGCGTTTCATCAAAGGAGATAATAAATTTTTTTTCAATGTCTTTTGTCTTTTCACGCGCAGTTTGAAGAAATTCTTTAACAACTAAGGGCGTATCTTCTGGAAGCTTCTGTGCGTATTGTGTCCGAACACGCTCTACCAATTTATTCCGCCGCATGAAACGTTCAACCCAACCAGAGGAGAACTTTGCACCTTGAATATTTAGTGTCTCCCCCAATTCTTTTGCCTTTCTTCTAATCATCGAAGTAGTAACCGACATCCTTTCTTCCCGTTTTTTTTTAACATAGTCTAATAATTCTTTTTCAACTGTGGGGTACTTGGCTTTTGAACCACGGCCAGGTAGAGCTCGCACCTTATCAATACTTGAGTTATGATCGTTTTTGACAACTTCAAGTTCTTTTTTTTGCTTTCTCCATTCTTGGACGCGTTTTCGATCGACTTGATAGAACAAGGACGCCTTACGGTTAGAGGTTTTTTCAGCATATGATATTACATCAAGCTTAAATGAAATAGTGTAGCTTCGCTTATTTCCCATGTTTGCAAGTAAAATTTGGACGCGAAACAAAAAAACAAGATCACATTTATTCAAATGGTACCAGGACATTACTTTAAAGGCACTTTCGTGAATGGTACCCGGGCATTATTTTAGGGGCAGTTTCATGAATGGTACCAGGGCATTATTTTAAGGGCGGTTTCGTTACACAAAAGATCAAAGGAAAAAACGGTCCAAAAAGATCAAATTGAAATTAACCAACGAGCCGATGTCCTACTCAAGGTTATTACTGCTAGTTTTGTGATCCAAAAAAACTTGTATAAAAAAAAACTTGTTCAAAGAAAAAGGTATTGCAAATTAACCAACGAGCCGTTGAAGCCTAATGACTTCAGAGCCGATGTCCTGCTCAAGAAGGTTAATTACTGCTAGTTTCGTGATCCAAAAAAACTTGTCTAAAAAAAACTTGTTCAAAAAAAAAAAAAAAGGTATTCCAAATTAACCAACGAGCCGTTGAAGCCATAATGGCTTCAGAGCCGATGTCCTGCTCAAGAAGGTTAATTATCATAGCGACAGTGTCTTAAACTAATACCACAATAATCCAACCAGAATTAACTTAAATGTTTTTTTTTTATCTTTTTTTTTTCTCCTTTTAACTCAACTGAAAAAAAGGACATAATTAAAGAATGTAATTTTTTTTTTCTTTAATAAGAAACGTATGTTCATTTATAGTGTTTCATGTTCGAGGTAAACTTCGTAATTCAAAGAACTGTAAAAGAAAAAAAAAAAAGTAAAAAAGAAAGACCAGAAAATCCGGTAAATCAAAAAAAAAAAAAAAAAAAAAAATTAGAGTTGCTAGCTTTCCTAATCGAAGTATATTTATATATTATCCTCCAAGACGTCAAAAAAAAAAAATCGTTCAGGGTTTTGTTTTACTAAGGTCAATTAAAGCATAAATAGAAATGCCCTTTTTTTTTTATCTGTAACCGGTTTAAAGTAAGTATATATGGGTGGGCATTGTTATTTGTGTCGCATTTTAGATTTTTTCGTATTGTATAAAATGTTCCAAGTTTGAGTAGCTTATTACATATACATTGATTAACGGCCTTTAAATCAAACATCAAATTGAGCTTGGCACTACGTATAAAATTGAAACTATTGGCAGGTTAGGCAGCACAACATATAAGGCGCACATGCGCGTTATTTTAAAAAAATATTAATTTGGAAAATCAGCCCTTGTTTCGAAATATCGCACATGGGCGTTCCAAAATAACGCGCAGGTCATTTAATTAACGCGCAGATGGGCGTTATTCCGAGTTTATACGGTATGCCATCTCAAAATTTTAAAATTAGAACTAAGCTTCAATAACTTGGTGATCCAAAATCATCTTTACAGTAAATTTACTAATTAAAATATTGTTTAAATTAGATATATTTATAGTGGTACAATTCAATTAGAAAATTTTAAACCGTCTACTATATTTGATATTTTAATATCTTCCAACAAATTATGTCTTGTTGAGTTGGTTGAGTATATTCAGTCCTATCTTATCAATAACAACGCATCTTGGCTTCGGTTAAAATTTGCCCAAATTTATTCTATCTGTTATCAAGATAACAATTTTAAAGACTTACAAACTTTTTATGCTGATATTCTTGCAAAGCATCCTAACCTGATTTTTGACTCTGATGAGTTTACTTCTATTCATGAAGATGCGTTAATAGTTCTTTTAAAACGTGATGATTTACAAATTGAAGAATCTGAAATTTGGGATCACGTTATTCAGACTTACCTTCTGACTTCAAACAATGGACTAAAAAGGATTTTTTAGCTTTAAAAGCTACACTTAACAAATGTATTCCTTTAATTCGATATTTTAAAATGTCTGGAGAAGACATTGTAGCAAAAGTTAAGCCTTATCGAAAAACTCTAGGAACAGACTTATGGGATGATATTACAACAAAGCTTATGGATCCTAATGCATCTATTTCTTCAACTATTTTATCTGCTCGCAAAAAAATTCCTGTTCAACTTCCTGTACGTGATGTTCACTTCAATACTCCATCGTCTATTGTTAATGATGAACAAGTTAAAAATTTAGAAGAGCAATTAGAATTAGAAAATATTGGTCAATTAGCAAGTGACATCTATAAATTAAAATGGTCGCTTGAAAATTTTTGCTCCTCGAGAAGATGCCATATTAATTATACTGCTTTAACGAAGCTTTTGAACGAATATGGCTGCTACTATTCTGAAAAAAAACTCAGTAATCAATTGGTTAGAGGAATTTTGCAACGTCATGTTATTGAAATGGTTATTAAACATGCAAATAAATATCTCCAAATCAACTACGAAAATGAAAAATCTCTGGAAATAATCTTAGATGATAAAGAATATTCTCTAGAAACAATTATGACTTTAACTACAATAAAGTTATTAAAGTGTATGGAATCATTTTCACAACAACGCGCCGGAACAGATGAAGTTACTCAAACTGCACCTACTAAATTACGCCAACTGGTTTATGTCATCCTTGGCAATCGGGGATTTTCAGAAACTTTAAATGAAGGCGAACATCCATTTATCATAAAATTACGAAATCTCGTCATAGAAAGCCTTAATCAATATCGTACAATAAAAGATCCACAGAAAAGAGATGAAATTGAACATATGGCTACTGAATTAATTCGTCATATTATTTCAATTTTTTGTTTCCGCAAAAATGTTAGAGAGCCAATTGTTGAGTATAAATGGTATAAATATTCCGATGAATTTGATGCATTATGTATGGAAGCGTCATTAGATGAAGATGAAATTGATAAAATAATGGTTGATGTTTGCACTTTTCCTTTAATTGGAACTAATCTTGAGCATGAAGAAAAATGCAAAGTAATCTCCCAGGCGTCGGTTCTAACAACAGATAAAATAAAATTTTGAATTTGTTGTTCGGCTAAGTATTTCTGCTTAATTTCTACGTTATTATTATGATTTTTTTATTTTTAAAGTCTAGTCATTTACTTGTCTTTTTTTTTATTTTTACAACTTATGTTAAGCGTATTTTCTTATTCAAATAAAATTTGCTTTACTATATACTAAAAACAGAGTGGTTTGCAAATAGTTAAGATGTGTAGAAGCACAAAGTTTTGAGTCTATTTGTCAAAATTGGGAGGCATGACCTTATTTACTACATGATCAAACCTTAACATATCATCCCATCTCATATATGTTTATTAATGTCGTGCCTGAAGTTGAAACTTCAGATGCTTGAAGTTACACCTCTAAAACTGTTAGCTTATGTGTCAGTATAATATAATTTCATGGGCTAATTTCAGTCAGGTGCAACTTCAGACACTTGAAGTTGCAACTTTAGGTAGATGCCAACCTTAAGCACAACATTAATGTCGAGAAACAAAAAAAATTACGATAGAGATCATCAAACTTATTAGCTTCCTATTATTAGTTCTAGTTAGAAGCTTCTAACTACTAATTCCGAAACTGCAATAATGATTGTATACTGGCAATCATAAATAATGCAGCAAAAAAAACGTTAGATCATATTATCTCATGCAATTCAGGACTAACCTTCATTTTTTTTATTATTATGTTCATAAATAGTATTTCTTTTTGCTAGTAGAATTTTATTAATCATTAATACTGCATATTCTTTACTATGTAAACACATAAAAATAGAAATTTTTTGTTGTTTTTGCATCTTGTGCAATGTTAGAATTAATTAATTATCAAACTGTAAAAAAAAAGAAATATCAACTCCAGCCCAAATGGCTAAAATATTACATTTACTGCAAAAAAATATTACAAGGTTTATAGACTGGGCCTTTTATATTAGCTTCTCCGCCATCTTTTGATCAAAAAAGTTGGTTAATAAATCATATGCTTAAAAATTTAGAAAGAGTTGGCAAACCAACTCAAAGAAAATTATAAATTTGATTACTTCTCATCATTGCTCTACTACTGTACAGATAGTTCTCATCTGAAAAAAAAGAAAATCTTGAAAGTTTCAACTACTACTATTCAATGTATACACCAGAAGCATGGTTTGGTATTAGGTATCAAAAGAAGAAAGCTTTTTCTAAGCACTAGTAATCAAAAAGCAAGGCTAGTATTTGCAAAAATATAATAATTGGTTTGTTGAAGATTAGTCTAATGTAATCTGGTTGAATATATCAAGGTTTTAAATTTTTGAGTCAGATAGTAAGTAGTATTATTGAAAGTATTTTGATAAGCTATTAAACCATTATTTTTTATAGTATTATTGACTATATAGGTCTATATTTTATATTACAACAAGGGTACAATCTGGCCATATATCAACTTTAAATTGCCTATTTAAGTAGTCTATCTGAAGATTCTATACTAGTTGTCATATCTGCAATCTACTTGAAAATTATCTTTTTTTTTTGGCATTAAAGTAAGGCCTTGCTCATATCTTTATTAAGTAATTTTAGAAATAGTAACTACATAATAATAATACTATATAGAAATACTACTACTTATACAAATATAAGTAAAACTAAAATTACATGCAAGAATAAAAGCTCAGATATATTTATCTGCAACCTAAACCTACTAGAGTGGCCAAAGACTCACCTAGATTATAATAGTTAGAATGTAGTTTAAAGAAGTACTATAGTTTATCCAGTATTTAGACCAGATGCCAATTTTCTTATTAGCCTGACCGGCTGGTGGGCAAGTGTCTAAATCAGAGTGCAGGTGATCTGGTAATCCACATGGGTAAAAGTATGTATAATTTCTATGAGTAAGATTGCAATTGTTAGAGTTTGATAATGCATTAGTGTGTGAAGTATAGGGATAAGCTAGTTCGTGGTGTTTTCTCCAGTTAGAAAATTGATACAGTATGGTTTTCAAATTTGGGCATATATTTGTTCATTGATTTTAAGTAGCAGTTCAATAATAGTATTTGAGGCTGATTTGTAAGGAATATTGAAGTCTTGTAATGTTTAAATAATTGAATTAGGGATTAGGCATTTAAGTATAAGTTCTAGGTAGTGAGAAGAGGGTTGTAATACTATAGAACTGAATGCTTCATGATTTTGAATTTTATAGATAAGTTCATTTATTTAAGAAGAGAAGAGGTCTAGTTCAAGTGATGTAAGATAATGTTAGTAGTAGTAGAGATAATACTATTAAGTAAAGTAAGACTAGTACAGGTACGCCAGTGTGATGGTGAGTCTGGTGTTCCACAATAGAAACAATTAACATTATTAAAAATTGAAGGGTAAAGTTTGTGATGAAGAAAATAAGTGGATAGTTCATTAAGTAGTGTTTTAATTTTGAAAGATCTGAGTTGGTTGAGTTTAAAATTAATAACGTTGTGGGTAGGTTTATGATTATAATTAAAGAATAGCCAGGTTGATTTCTAGTCTATTTTGTCATTAGTTTGCGACTACTCTTCGTTTCGTTGTTGTGATGACCACATAGCGAGGATGTGTGCTTTACTGATAGTTTTGATGAAATGCTGAGTTGGAAGCTCAACAGCGAACTTTTTATCATC